AAAAAAAAAAAAAAAAAAAAAATGGTAAAAGTAAGTATCGCTCCTAACTCAAACCCTCAATTGTTCACCTCAGAGGCAATCCTTGTTAAAGTTTCTGCGTGTCCTCCTATTCTATGCATGTGCAACCACACGTGTACACACTAATTTCTCTATGTAATTTTGTTTTTGCATAAATGACGGCGTACTGTAGATACAAAACCAATAAAAACCAAACTTACTGCCATTGAGTCGGTCCTGACTCATAGCCACCCCTCCTTGGGTTTTTGAGGCAGTATCACTACAGAAGTAGATTGCTCAACCTTCCTTCTGAGGAGTGGCTGGTAGGTTTGAACCGCCAGGCTTCTGGTTAGCAGTCAAATGCCTTAGGCACTATGCCACCATAGCTTCTATACTGTAGATATTGTTAGGTATTTTTCACTCAACAATATATTTTGGAGATTATGTTAGCACATGTAGATTGACTTGATATTCTTTTTAATGACTGCTATGCCTATGCAGTGGTGTAGTGCTATAATGCCTAAGGCACTTGACTGCTAAGCAGAAGGCTGGCGATTCAAACCCACCAGTCACTCCTCAGAAGGAAGGTTGGGCGATCTACTTCCGTAGAGGTACTGCCTCGGAAACCAAGGAGGGGTTGCTATGAGTCGGATCTGACTCGACGGCAGTGAGTTGAGTTTTAGAGCAGTTGCCCTATAGTTGTAATATACGTGGAAGTTTTTGATATGACAGCTATTAAAGAACATTATGTTGTCCATTACAGTGCTACAGTGTCCATTCTTCATGTGGATCTTTGAGCATATGGTGGCCTAGTACATTTGAAGGATGAAAGAACTGTTGAGTGAGGGAGTAATTGTAGTTTTTACATTGTGAGATAATAACAAAACTCCCTCCAAAAAGGAGCTTCTTGGGAAGCTCTTTACCAGTGCAGAACTTATTGGAAGCACTTACGATAATTGGGTGTGCTTTAAAAACACAGAATTTCAGGCTCTTCTCTACTTTACCTCATGTAGGTGGGGCCCCAAAACCAAATCAAACCTGTTGCCACGTGTTACAGGGTAGAACTGCTCCACAGCGTTGTTTTTTTTTTTTTTTAATAATTTAATTATTTTGTTTTTGTTGAGAACATACACAGAAAAACATAAATCAATTGAACAGTTTCTGTGTGTACAATTTAGGGACATTGATTACATCTTTTGAGTTATGCTACTATTCTCAACCCCCCTTCTCTGAGTTGTTCGTACCCCATTAGCATAAACTCACTGCCCTCTAAGGTTCCCATCTAATCTTTCCAGTTGCTATCATCAATTTAGAAACTCTGGTGGTATAGTGCCTAAGACATTTGACTGCTAACCAGAAGGCTGGCAGTTCAAACCCACCAGCCACTCCTCAGAAGGAAGACTGGGCAATCTACTTCCATAGTGATACTGCCTTGGAATAGCAGTGAGGTTTTTTCTTTTCTTTTTTTAATGATCAATTTAATTTGACATAGATAGTTCTTAAAAGACTATAATGCTCAAGGCAGACATTTTTCACTAGTTAAGCTAAATTAAACTGTTAAATTGTTTAGTTTTAAGAAGACTTCAAAGGATAATTTTGGTTTAAGGGCAGTAATTTCAGGGGTTTATCCAGACTCCATGACTCCAGAAAGTCTTAAGTCCATGAGAAATTGAAATTCAGTTCTGCATTTCCCCCTTTTGATCAGGCCTCTTCTATGGAATCTTTTCTATGGAATCAAAACGTTCAGTAATGACAGCTAGGCACCATCCAGTTCTGGTCTCATGGCAGAGGACACAGTTGTTCATGGAGGCAATCAGGCACACATTCCATTTCCTCTTCCTGTTCCTGACTCTCCTGCTTCCTCTGTTGCTCCAGACGACTGGAAGCCAGTTGTGCTTTGGATGACTGTTGCAAGCTTCTAAGGTGCCAGGCACTATGCAACAAATTGGGAGGTAGAACAGAAGCACTAAACATGTTATTAGGCCAGTTAACTGTGATGTCCCATGAAACCGTAACTCTGAACCTCCAAACCAAGAAACAATCCCATGGAGTGTTTGGTTGTACATAAGCAGCCTCTGCAGCTACTCTTTTTCTTGTCATTGTTGTAGGTGTATCTGTCACACAATTTTTGCCAATTCAGCTCTTTAATAGTGCACAACTTATTGGAAGCACTTACAATAATTGGCTGTGCAACTCTACCCTTTATCAATTGGATTTTTCCATCACTGTAAACTAGTGCCTAAGGCATTTGACTGCTAACCAGAAGACTGGAGGTTCAAACTCACCAGCCACTCTTTGGAAGGAAGGTTGAACATTCTACTTCCGTAGTGATATTGCCTTAGAAACTCAAGGAGGGGTCACTGTGAGTCAGATCCTACTCGACGGCAGTGCATTTGGTTTTTTTGGTTTGTAAACTGTAAGTCAGTACTCCATAAGCATTAATCCCCTTTTTCTCTGTCCTTCCCACCCCTGGTAACCACTAATAAGCTTTGATCTCTATACATCTCACTAGTCTTTTTATATAAATGAGGTCATAAAATATTTGTGCTTTTGCAATTGACTTATTTCACCCAGCACAATATCTTCCAGCTCCATCCATACTGTAGCATGTATCAAGGCTCATCTCTCCTGCTGGCTGAGTAGTATTCCGTTGTATGTATGTATCACATTCTGTTTCTCTATTCAGCTGTTGATGGGCTGTTATAAATAGTTCTGCAATGAACACTGATGTACAAGTCCCCTTTTGAGTCTCTGTTTTCAAATCTTTTGAGTATATACCTACTTCCATTTTTAGTTTTTTTTGAGGAACTGCGGCACTGTTTCCCACAAAGACTGTGTCATTTTGCAATTTCATCAGCAACAGATAAAAGTCCCAGTTTCCTTGCAGCCTCGCTCCTTAGGGTTTTCTTGGCTGCAATCTTCATGGAAGCACATTGTCAGGGCCTACTGTGGCACCGCTGGGTGAATTCAAAGCGCCAGCCATGGAGTCGATTCCAACTCACAGCAACCTTCATTGGGTTTCCCAGGCGATAAAGCTTCACAGAAGTAGATTGCCCCATCTTCCTTCTGCTGAGTGGCTGGTAGGTTTGAACTGCCAATCTTCTGGTTAGCAGTCAAATGCCTTAGGCACCACGCCACCAGAGCACCTTTCTAGGTTAGTAGATGATTGCAAACCATTTTGCAGTACCAGGAATCCATATTTTATTTCTTTGGTGACTATGACGCAAGAAGCTTATAGACAGCACTGGGGAACAAGAGGGCAGAAACCCTCTCCCCACCAAGCTGGTTTTCCTCTTGGACTACCTTGAATTGCTATTTATCTTTCCCCATGACTGTCCCATGTCCTCACCAAGATGAAAGGCTTCAGGATTTTTGCTTCCTTTTATTTCTGCCCTGGCACCATGCTTTGTATAATGTTAGTTGATGACGATTATTTGGAAGTGTGTTTGTGGGCCCATGTGATGATTTTTTTTTTCTTTCAGTTCCATGGACAAAACACAGAGGAGAATCATGGGCCAGCCGTTTTCCATTCCCACCTCCCAACCCAAGAAAAAAAGGACACCAATGATGTCTTTCTTCCCCAAGGTTTGCTGCAAAATATTATGTACAAATGTCACTTTCCAGCAACCGTTTTGTGAAAGCTGTGAGCTTGCCTGGTCTATGGTTGGTTAGAATCTCCACTGAGATTCCTTCTAAAACAAAGTTTAGTAGCAGTTCTTTTTTTCTAAAAAATATAGTTATTCATTTTTAAATAGGCTTCATTTTTATTTAAAAGCAGTTTTAGGTTTACTGAAAAATTGTGCAGAGAGAATTGACAGTTACCATATGCTCCTCTTTCTCCACCACATGCTTTTTCTCCTGTTATTAACACTTTGCAATGGTATGGCACATTTGTTCTAAGTGATGAACCAATATCAATACATTTTGGTAACTAAAGTCCATAGTTTCCTTCTGGGTTCACTCTTCCATAGTCCTATGGGTTTTGGCAAAGGCTTCATGGCATGTGTCCACCATTATAGTATCATGCACAATAGTGTCATTTTCCTTAGATATGCCCTGGGTTCCATATCTGGCCTGCCCCTCTCCCTCTCCCTGAGGCCCTGGCAACCACTGATCTTTTGCTATGCTAGTTCTTCCAACCAGCATAAAATGGTTATAGTATAACAAGTTGATTGTTGTCGTTGTTATTATGTGCCATTCAGTCGGACCCGAGTCATAGTGACCCTTCCTTGGGTTTCCGAGGCAGTATCACTACGGAAGTAGATTACCCAACCTTCCTTCTGAGGAGTGGCTGTGGGTTGATTAGTTGAGGGAATTTAACTTCCTGCTAACTTAGTGATAAAGATAAAGAATGAACAACCTTAAATAATCAGAAAGAATCATGAGGCTTGGTAATCACCAAATCTCATAGGGCTGTGGAGACAGAGAGATCTGGCTCCAGTCTTCAGTCCCTCCACTTACTAAGGAGGTGGTTTCTGAAGCTGAGGGCTTTGTTCTGGTCTGAGCCTTCATGGTCTTGGTTCTGACTCTAGTATCCATTGCCATTGAGTTGATTCTGACTCACGGCAACCCTTCAGGATGGAGCAGAAGTGCCTCATAGGGTATCTAAGGCTGTAATCTTTACAAAAGCAGACTGCCACATCTTTCTTCTGCAGAACAGCTGGGGAATTTGAACTGTAGACCGTTTGGTTGGCACCTGAATGTTTAACCACT